CCCCCCCCCCCCCCCACAAAAAATCATCCACCCCTCTTCCCCCCTTCTGGCAATAAATAATGAGTGGTTCTTCATGGTAAAGTCTCAAAAAAAGTTCTACATGTTAATTTGACTTTAAGTCATTCCAGAGTTATTTTGATAATTAATCTGGAACAGAAGAGACTGACAATCAACCACGTTTTAGATAGTAAAATGTCACACTAAAGAAAAATGTTAATGAAATACATGTGTATACTGCGGAGTGACCTATACTACAATATGACTGGCCATATGCTTGATAGGTAGAGACACATTCTGTTGAAAAAACAAAACATGATATGCACATACATTTCTGAGTTAAGTGATTATTACCGTCATACTAACATCAAAGTTTTTTAAAGCTCGGGGAAATTTTACTTTCATAGCTATTTGTGTTCATTTCTCGTACTGATCAAAAAAACTCATTGATAAATAGCATGTCCCTCATTTTCACCTGATTTTCATTAATGCACTTGCTGGAAACCAAAAATTGTTCATAAAATTGATAAACTTCTGGAATAAGACAATCAGTCGTTTTCTACATCATGTATCATGCATCTCTCTTTTCAAAATGTCCAGAGACGGAAGAATAACGATCTTCAGAGTCAAAAATGGCAGAGAATAATCGCTTGATTGTCCATATGAATCAATTTTTCTAAGATTTCTAAGGACAGAATTCATGTAAATGCAACTTAAAGAAAGCACCAGATATTCTTTAGTATGACAGATAACTGTTTCCTAACAGCAAAGAACTTCATACACCCCTCCAGAAATCTAAAAAAAATTTTACTTTCTCGTTCAAGAATTTCAGCACATTCCGTCAGCAAGAACCACAAGCAAGAAGCTTCAAATGCACTTTTTGGCGCAAACAGACGCTTCTCGCCTCAAAAGACAACTACGTGGCCACTACGATATCATTTACATCATCGACTCCTCCAGCTCGATCAGCAGGGCTGAATTCCGAAAGGGCATCAAAGCCATTCAATTGTTGATTGACAAGGGTGCACGTGACTCGTTACACGCGGCTATTACAGTAGCCAATCAGGCACATCCTGTCTTCACATTTTCTTCCGTTGAAAAAGCCAATGAGAAACTGGAGAAACTGCAAAGAACCGGTGGAAAAACAAACATGCAAGAGGCGTTAGAGAAAAGTTTACGAATGTTTCAAAATCCTAGCAGCGGAGCCCGAGCCGGAAGTTTTAGACGCGTTCTGGTTGTGACTGATGGACAGTCCAACGTGAAACGGAACAAAACCCTCTTGAATGCCATGGACCTGAAGCTCAATGGAGCAGAGATCTTTGTGATTGGAGTAGGAGAATACTTGGATGGAATTCATGAATTGGTGCACCTGGCTAGTTCATTGGATGCACATTTATACAGAGCTGGTGACATGCAAGGTCTCGTTGAAGTTGTCAAACTCATAACACCGGTCAGTTACAGACGGAGCTGGGAATCGGAAGTCAGGAGAATAAGGCAAGCAGTCATGCTTGGAAGGCAATAACGTGTTTTCATATCCTTCATGAATGATAAATGCATGTTCTTAAATGTTAATTGAAAAGGTCATCATTGTCCTTTTTGGTTGTTAGAACATTGGTCTGTTGGTGACTCTTTGGCAACTTGTTTGCTTCTTTAGATGCCTGTTTTTGTTTTGTTTTATATTTGTTTGTAATTTTTTATCTGGTTTTTTGTTTATTTGTTTGATTCACCATTTAATTCGGTTGGTGTTGTGAGAACATCAGTGAAATGAATTTTTTTATGTTATTTATGTCCTATCATGAGGCCTTTTCCAAACTTTTGAAAGTGTTTCATAAGTTCAAGATGAAACCACTCTGGTTTTATTTCCTAATGACTGCAATCAAGAGAACATTTTTGTTTTTAGTTTATATTTAATTTATCATATGCTAATCTTTTTCACTGCATTAGCCGATATAACGTCTTTAAGATCCTTAAGTAAAAGGTAACATTCCCTCTGTTTTCTTAGTCGTTATATAATAATACCAAATATAAATTTTTTTTTCTAGAAAACCCATAATCACATCCCCACAGAACTTAATATTACTCTCTGAGGCTGTAATTCATACACAAAAAACATAAACATGTACATTCAAGTTTACGTCTCATACTGACGAACCAATCATTGTTTATCAACTAAGGAAGGGAGAAGAGGGCGGATGATTTTAGGGGATCACATGGTTTTCAGGGAGAGCAGGGTGGGGAATCTGTCATCGCCAACAGAATATAAATAGGGAGCTATAGAAAATTGACTGCCAATTAAATGCCTGTGAGAGGAGATCATGTGATGCCAAAAAGCCTTATAGGGGGATCAGGTTAATTTTATCTTGACTCAACGAAAATCCTCCACACCCTTCCCCCCCTAAGGAGATGAATAATGACCGGTCTCGAACGTCAGTACATACGACTTTTGGGATTAAAGTCTTCCTAACGGTCTTGATTCCTCGTCGTCTCCCTCAGATTGTCCAAAATTTTCTTCAATCCATGTTTTTTTCCCTGTCTGATCAGGAATAAGCTTAATGATCTGCACTAGTCCACTCATATTTAATACACGGTACATGTGAGCATCAGATGAACTTGCCATCTGTACCAATTCTTTGATCCCCTCAAGGTATTCTCCTACGGCGATTACAAATATTTCAATTCCCATCAGTTTAAGTTCAAACGCACTGGGAATGGTTTCGTTCCTCTTGATATTGGACTGGCCATCTGTGACGATAAGAATTCTGTGAAAGCTTCCTTGCCGGGCGCCATATTGAGCTTCAACGTACATCCTTTTGCAAAGTTTGAGCGCAGCCTGAGTGTTAGTTTTTCCGCCGGTGCGCCTAATGGCGCCAATTTTTTCATCTGCGATGAAACGCGAGGCGAAGTTGAACTCAATTTTGGCATGAGTTGCATAGGTAACGGCGGCATAGACTGTGTCATTTCGTGATTTCCCCACAAGATCTCGCAAAGCTCTCAATCCTTTCACGAATTCTCCACTGCTAACGGAGCTGGATGAATCAACGACAACAATTACGTCAAAAAAATTTCCCAGGATCTGTCGTTTTTGGATTTTCCTGGCTTCCCCTCCGAAGAAGTTCTTGTAGAGCTTCTTTGCCGTTTCAGCAGCGGGTGGAATGTTTTGAAATCCTGACGGCGAAGAGAACAAAAGACAAAATTGTCGTTGTTTTCACGATTGCCATATTTACAGAGGCTATGATCGTTTGATGGAGGAAATATGCATCTGATGTAAATATCCTTTCATCTGAAAATACCAGGAAACTATTTTCATTGCATTACAGGCGGTTAATATGCCTAAAGCTGATTTCTTGAAACAGCTTATGGTGCCCTTGGGTCAGTGTACGTTCAAATATGCAGGTCATTAAACAATTGATCTTTTTTTAACATGGCGCGTTTGTTTAGTGTGTGCTGCACATCGAGTTTCTAGAATCTAGAAACAGTGGATATAATGACGTGAATGCTCAAGAAGGTGAAATGAAACCACTACAGCACCTTTTTTGTTATTTGAGAGATTTAAAATTTCGTAAGAACTCTTGGGAGAAGAAGCCGAGTAAACCTGACCTTGCGCAACATCTTCTACTGTGGTGAGTGATTTTGGACGTCAGTGACCTAAATATTTGCACATCAGGGGATTGGTTTAAGACTTACTTTTGTAGTAATCCTCCTCGCTGATATCCTTCTCACTGCCACACGAAGTATCAAGACCCCAATAAGCAATCAAAAGTAAGGCAAATCTAGCTAATTGTGCCATCATGAAAAAAGGCTGGAGTACAGTATAGTGTCCACTTTAGCCACCTGACCGGGATATCCCCTTTCCAGTTACTCACGCTTAACTCGCGCGTGTATGATAGCTCACGCACATGTAACTCGCGCGTGTACGAAGTAATGGGCTTGTTGTTGTTGATATTCACAAAGGTGTTGGCTGTGTTCCAAACCATTCGCAAAGGGCTCACTGCCTTTGCCGAAAAAGGAAAACAATTTCCTTTCTTTAGAGAAATCTAAAAGCCCTTTGGCATTTCCCCTCTAAGTTTAAGAGAAACCGGGGAGGCCGAGGTTTTTCTTAAGTGGCGGTTAAGGGAGAAAGGAATTGGTGCAACACTATTTGCGAGAGATTTAATACCCTCAGCGGGAAGCGATTCTTTAAAACATGTTACCGTAATTTCCGGTCGTTTACCCGCACGGCCGATTACCCGCACCGGCCG